GGCTTGTCAAAATTAATCCGGACATCGATGGGTCACCAAATCAATCCGTCCACGGGGGGCGACATCATTAACGCCATTTCGACAATGTGTGCGAAATGCTGCTTGTATAAAGGCTGCAGGTTGTCGACGCTCTCTCACCAGGCGTACTCGATCTCAAGGAGACGCGACTGTGCTCTTCTACGCTCGACACAGCTATCTATCCCGCCACGGAGCTACCAAGATTATCAACCAGAGGCAGTTCCGGAAGGTAAAATTATCAGAAGGATAATTTTTGTTTTATGGTCCATATTGCCGAACCGGAGCCAACAGAGAAGGCCACCCGGCAGCTCGAGCAGGACTGGGACAAGATCAAAGGATCACCTGTGGAACCGGTGGTAATGAAGTACAAAGACACCGTGTTCCGCATGCAACTACCTAATCGCCCACCACAGCGCTCAGCGGATATTGAAGCTGAAGTTGAGCTTGTCGACGACACTCCAGTAGCAAGGAAGCAGTATCGGCTCAGCGAAGAAATGAAACGGACCATACGGCAGTGGACGAAGGAGATGTTAGACGCGGGTATTATCAGGCGTCCAAGTCTCCGTACTCGTCGCCTACAGTTTGCGTCCGAAAGGCAGTTGGCTGGCGCATTGTTCACGATTTTCGAGCAATTGACAGCAAAATTCGCATTCCAGCCACGCCAATTCCTCGGAAGGAAGACATCTTTGATGCAATGGCCAACGGTCACTGGTTTTCTGCATTAGATCTTCTTTGGGGATATTTCCAGGTCCGGCTACGGGAATCAGATATTCCGTACACAGCATTTTCGACTCTAGACGGCCAGTTTGAGTACTTGGTCACGCCAATGGGACTATCGTGCAGCCCCTCTGCCTTTAATCGGTTGATGCAGCATGTTTTCAGTGATCAGAAAGCCTTCTGTCAAGCTTACTTTGATGACCTCATCATTTTCACGAAGTCAACCGCGATCGAAGACCACTTACGTGCACTGGATGCTGTCTTGCAGCGCTGCCAGGATCAAGAACTCTACGTGAAGTTGGCAAAATGCACGTTTTGCTCCGCGGAGATTCCGTGTCTTGGAGACAACTCTGGGCGCGATGGCGTTCGAATGGACCCAGACACAGATCCGAGTTAAACGCGAGTGGCCACCGCCTAGGACCAAGCGCGAGCTGCAATCATTCTTGGGGATCTGTGTCTATGTGTTGAAATCTGCGAGAATTACGCGGACATATCAGCACCACTCGTCGAAGCCACCAAAGGAAAAACAGCACAGGAGCAGATTCAACTTACGCCGGAGCAACGTGATTGCTTTACCAAATTGAAAACAGTGCTGACATCGCCACCGGTCTTAGCTCACCCCGATTCGTCAAAGGATTTCCACATCCGGATGGATGCTTCAGACTATGCTGTTGGAGGGTATCTCTATCAACTTGATGCGGACGGCAAGGAACGAGTAATTGCTTACAATGGACGAAAGCTCAATCGCGCTGAATTAATGTATCCCACGCGCGAGAAGGAACTGCTAGCTGCCTTGCATGCAATGCGCGTTTGGAGGGTTTACCTCGTCGACAAGCCATTTTTCGTCAACACAGATCATCGAACTCTGCAAACGATATTGGAGCAGAAGACTTGTTCGCAGCGTCTCGCGCGCTGGCTAAATGAGCTGGGATTATACCAGCCATTGTTTCGTTGGATACCAGGCGACACAAACATCGTTGCGGACGCAATTTCCCGTAATTCGGCATTTCAGCCAAAGGTGTCTACACATTTTGTGTGTTCTTTACCCCAGTTTACTTCGAACAACTTACCACAGCTCACCAAACTGAAGACAGTGGCGGAGACGTTTATCTGCACTACGCTAGAAGCCGACCCTCCATTCTGGAACAATGTACCCAGCTCTACCCTGAAGACTCCGTGTTCGGTCCTCTATATCAGCTTCTGCAATCGTCCCAAGTAGTTGAGACCACACCGCCAGTGGGGCTTCACCGCCGGATTCGTGCGAACATCAACCATTTCTTTCTCGAAGATGACATCCTGTACTTTCAACCGCGTGCTGACGCACCTCGACGAGTTTGTGTGCCGGACAGCCAGGATTTGAAGGATGCTATCATTTATGAGCATCACAATGTTGCTTCCAGTGGCCATCCTGGGTGTCTGAAGACTCTTCTTGCTCTCCAAGACAAGTTTTACTGGTTACACATGAAAAAGACAGTGAAGCGATACGTTACTACTTGCGAAATGTGCCAAAGGATCAAGGTATCGCAACGAAAACCAGCGGACTTGCTTCATCCGTTAGAAATTCCTGACCGTCGATGGAGCCAAATTACTATAGATTTTATTACCGGCCTTCCAAGCTCTCGGCACGGACTCTACGATGCTGTATGGGTAATTGTCGACCGTCTTACTAAGAGGGCACATTTTATTCCGACGACCACTACTTGCACAGCGGAAGAAGCAACCAAAATTTTCCGAGACCAATACCAGCGGTTGCATGGCCTACCAGATACTATCACTTCCGACCGCGACAGTAAATTTACGTATACTTTTTGGTCAAGTTAATGAAGTTCCAGAACACACAGCTGCAGCTTAGTTCGGCATTTCGACCTGATACCGACGGACAAACAGAGCGAACCAACCACTTCATCGCTGACTACTTACGAGCATTTGTATCGCCGCTGCAAACTGACTGGAGCCGAGTACTATCGCTAGCGGAATTTGCATACAATTC